TCCACACTGGTAAGATATTGTTCTTTTTGGACTAAGCTCTCACGGATTTGTTTTTGGTACCACTCCAAAAAGCCTCTTAATAAGGGATGAATCTTATGTGTATATAAACTCATGTGTATTTCATATTTTATACGACGTGAGACTTTGTTTATACCCAACAACTTTAACCAGAGATAATTCATGTAACGAAATCAAGTAGTTTTTATAAGGATAAGCTATCTTATTTTCTCTTCTAAAGTTTCTATGTTTTATTTATAGAAGGATAAGTTATCTTAATCATGCAACTTAACTTAAGTTTTCATCGTATACGAAGAGGGAAAGAATAATCATTAATTTGACATTTTGTCAGCATATGTAAGAGAAGTTAACTCGAAGGAATTTATATTGTTTGTATATTATGCCACCGTATATACTTAATCAGGCACGACAAAGCTTTCATTTAAGGTTCCAAAAGAGAAAAGAAATAAAATAGAAATATAAAACGGAAGCTGCAATTCTAAGTGATATGGGTGGAGCACAAGACACAACTGTGGGATTATGCTTCTTCTTAAAATAAGATGAAACCCTAAATGTCGAAACAATTGGTCGGGTTTGAACAAGTGTCATTGGATATTAATTTCAGATTTATCAGTACTGATTTCTTTTTGCATCTTTTACTGCATACGCTTTTTTGACTTCAAAATTAGCGGATGAAAATGTGAATGGAAATAAAAGATATCGATTATATATATCTTTGATCTTTCTATATATTTGTGGAGTTATTTACAGACAGTGAGAGAATCTTGCTCAATGCCACACGATTAAGCACATTAGGCCATAACTCGTGGAGCCACGGCCATTTTACATTTATACTATGATGTCCTTTAAGATAACCTTCTCTGACACACCCTTGTCTTTATATCCCATATTTGAAATCACATGCCTAACTTTGACTATTAGCCTGCCATTACAGTTTTCAGACGAACTAGTGTAAGATAGAAGGTGGAATCTGCTATAGTTTTGTAAGAACACGAACATCAACATATGGGCAAGACCCAATTAAATTAACTTTAGACAATTTTCCCTTTTATATATACCTAACTAGTAGTACTGAAGACATGTATTCTAAAAAGAAAAACAACAACAAAGCTTAATGATTGTGCTTATTATTGTGATATAAGTTAAACAGAATGAATGATTAAATCACCACGAACTTAGTTACGAGATTTCTTTAAAATGAGGCCATGATTGGATTTTGAATTAGAGGAAACTTCACGGTGGGACAAATAATTGGAGAATATAGTCAAAAGGACATGACAAGGAAGCTTCGTTGTTTCTTGGCCTAATTAATTATGAGGTTGAAACCATGGAGGGCTCAAAAATCTAAGGTAAAAATTGGTTTTTTACTTAAACATTATTATTTGGTTTGCTTAATTCAATGGCCGACCACTTATCTTGGTGGTTGATGCCACATAAATGTTGGTGCAGAGAGATGGAGAGAGAATGGGGGCATGGAATCTGAATTGAGGGGCCTATACACATTTTTTTCGGAACCATGGACCACACATTTCTCTCTATAAGAAGCCCTCTTGAGCTCCATTTATAACACTGCTTCAAGTGGTTTCAACTTTCAACACACACACACAGAGACATACATATCTGTCTCTCTACACTACAAAGTGTAAGCTTGCATAGACACAAAGATGAGCAGAGATTCCACGAGGGCTTCAAAGAAGAAGGTTTCATGCAGAAGGCTTGGAGGGTATCTCAAAGAGCAAAAAGGAAGACTATACATAATCAGAAGATGTGTAGTCATGCTACTCTGCTGGCATGACTAGATACAAACATTCTCAAAAGTTTAACGTTTTTCTTTGCTCATACCATGGATCAGCACACACCAGATTCCTCAAAGCCATGGTCAAGGATCAAAGTTCAAGCATGCAGACAAAGAATATATATATATATATATATGTTTTGCTAGCTAGCTCTTTATTATTAATTCCCTATGTAAATAGCAGAGAAAGTAACGTTCCTTCATATAAAAGATGTATGTTCTCTACGTGCAAAGAGGCTAATTAATATGGCAATGAAGTAAAAGTTTCAGTTTCCATTCTGCACTTGGAGTAGTACTACTTGGATTTGTTTGTTTTTAATGAAGAACTTGTGTAGTTTGGAAGAGTTAATGATTATATATAATTGGCATATTTTGTTCATTTTGTAAGGTTAATTAATACACACTGTTTTAGTGTAGAAAAGAAAGAATAAGGCACTGATTATCTGTAAAAGATATAATTGAAGAAATGTGGATTAGAGAGAGGAGAATGTTGCCATGAATGGTGAAATTAAAAGTTAAAAGTGAAAAGAGAAGGTGCATAAGAGCTATATTTATATAGCTAGAAAAGAAGGACACAAATGGGTACTTATGAGTTGAAGAGTGTGTTGTGTCTTTTACGTAGGCTGTATTTGTTGAGGTCTTGTCAACTCAAAGTTACATTATAATGCATTTTGAAAAAGAGATGGTGCATCTATCACATGTGGTTGATATGACCCTCTCTTCCATTTTTCTCATTGTTTCTTCGACATCATTTTTGTTTTTCTTACCGTTTTATCCACTTCTTCGTATGTCTCCTCTCAGTCACTGTTTCACAAGACTTCCTCATAGCTTTTCAAATACAAAAAACTCCATGTGAACAAGAGTTTCTAATGTTTCGCTAGCTAGGTTAAAATTTTCTTTCTCTTGGTGTTTGAACGCGTCCAAACAGTAAAAATATGTACATTCACTATAGGTCACATACAATACTATATAGCTAGCTTCTGCGCTAACATGGCACATCGATGCTATTCCAAAACTCACTAACTGTTATTTCCACATTTTTTTACCTTACTGTTCTTACTTTCTTTCTCCTTCTCTACAATAATTCACACCATTCACAAAACAACTCATTAATTTATAAATATCAAAACTATTTTACTGTTTGGAGTATGTTATTATGCAGTTAATAAACTTCTCAAAGTATTGTTGATGTTGTTACTTTCATTCATAGCCAATTTATGAACTTGATTTTTAGTTTCCCAATAACAATTAAAAGTTTCTAACTAATAGTTCGATTTCTAATTAATATTTCGGATTTAGTAATGCAAAAATATTCTTTTTTTTAAATCTCATTTGCTCGCACTTGTTCTTGTGGGAATTTTCCCAATTTATGTTGAGTGCATATTAGGAGAAAGTTTGTCTTCACTTGAGACAACCATTCTATTATACTTGTCACTTTTATATTTTTAAATTAAAATAGGGACAGAAAAGACTCAATGTCAAATAATGGAGTATTATTCCAATATAAATTCGTATTTCTTGATGAATTATTCTAATAATTCAATAATATTTTTTATTATTGTATGGGAAATAAGAATCATAATTCATTGTAATTAATAGAATAATATCAAGAATATTGACTCTTGATTTGTGTGATGAATTGTTATTAACTTGAAAAAACTTACATAGTTGGATTCACGCCTTGAATAATTAATTGCGAAACTTTTAGTTGATGAAATAATTTTATTTATTTATATTCATAGAGATAACAAATAACTATCTACATTTTTTTTACGTTTTCTCGTAAAAAAAATATGTAACAAATAAATATAAAACATATGTCTTGAGAAATTCTACTGTGGCCTCAGAATTTTTTTCTTCTATCATTCCCTCTGATTTAATTTAATGTATTCAAACTCATTCAACTATTAATCAAACAAAACAATTATATCAACGTCCNTTAAGTTTTCATCGTATACGAAGAGGGAAAGAATAATCATTAATTTGACATTTTGTCAGCATATGTAAGAGAAGTTAACTCGAAGGAATTTATATTGTTTGTATATTATGCCACCGTATATACTTAATCAGGCACGACAAAGCTTTCATTTAAGGTTCCAAAAGAGAAAAGAAATAAAATAGAAATATAAAACGGAAGCTGCAATTCTAAGTGATATGGGTGGAGCACAAGACACAACTGTGGGATTATGCTTCTTCTTAAAATAAGATGAAACCCTAAATGTCGAAACAATTGGTCGGGTTTGAACAAGTGTCATTGGATATTAATTTCAGATTTATCAGTACTGATTTCTTTTTGCATCTTTTACTGCATACGCTTTTTTGACTTCAAAATTAGCGGATGAAAATGTGAATGGAAATAAAAGATATCGATTATATATATCTTTTATCTTTCTATATATTTGTGGAGTTATTTACAGACAGTGAGAGAATCTTGCTCAATGCCACACGATTAAGCACATTAGGCCATAACTCGTGGAGCCACGGCCATTTTACATTTATACTATGATGTCCTTTAAGATAACCTTCTCTGACACACCCTTGTCTTTATATCCCATATTTGAAATCACATGCCTAACTTTGACTATTAGCCTGCCATTACAGTTTTCAGACGAACTAGTGTAAGATAGAAGGTGGAATCTGCTATAGTTTTGTAAGAACACGAACATCAACATATGGGCAAGACCCAATTAAATTAACTTTAGACAATTTTCCCTTTTATATATACCTAACTAGTAGTACTGAAGACATGTATTCTAAAAAGAAAAACAACAACAAAGCTTAATGATTGTGCTTATTATTGTGATATAAGTTAAACAGAATGAATGATTAAATCACCACGAACTTAGTTACGAGATTTCTTTAAAATGAGGCCATGATTGGATTTTGAATTAGAGGAAACTTCACGGTGGGACAAATAATTGGAGAATATAGTCAAAAGGACATGACAAGGAAGCTTCGTTGTTTCTTGGCCTAATTAATTATGAGGTTGAAACCATGGAGGGCTCAAAAATCTAAGGTAAAAATTGGTTTTTTACTTAAACATTATTATTTGGTTTGCTTAATTCAATGGCCGACCACTTATCTTGGTGGTTGATGCCACATAAATGTTGGTGCAGAGAGATGGAGAGAGAATGGGGGCATGGAATCTGAATTGAGGGGCCTATACACATTTTTTTCGGAACCATGGACCACACATTTCTCTCTATAAGAAGCCCTCTTGAGCTCCATTTATAACACTGCTTCAAGTGGTTTCAACTTTCAACACACACACACAGAGACATACATATCTGTCTCTCTACACTACAAAGTGTAAGCTTGCATAGACACAAAGATGAGCAGAGATTCCACGAGGGCTTCAAAGAAGAAGGTTTCATGCAGAAGGCTTGGAGGGTATCTCAAAGAGCAAAAAGGAAGACTATACATAATCAGAAGATGTGTAGTCATGCTACTCTGCTGGCATGACTAGATACAATCATTCTCAAAAGTTTAACGTTTTTCTTTGCTCATACCATGGATCAGCACACACCAGATTCCTCAAAGCCATGGTCAAGGATCAAAGTTCAAGCATGCAGACAAAGAATATATATATATATATATATGTTTTGCTAGCTAGCTCTTTATTATTAATTCCCTATGTAAATAGCAGAGAAAGTAACGTTCCTTCATATAAAAGATGTATGTTCTCTACGTGCAAAGAGGCTAATTAATATGGCAATGAAGTAAAAGTTTCAGTTTCCATTCTGCACTTGGAGTAGTACTACTTGGATTTGTTTGTTTTTAATGAAGAACTTGTGTAGTTTGGAAGAGTTAATGATTATATATAATTGGCATATTTTGTTCATTTTGTAAGGTTAATTAATACACACTGTTTTAGTGTAGAAAAGAAAGAATAAGGCACTGATTATCTGTAAAAGATATAATTGAAGAAATGTGGATTAGAG